CGAAGGCGAATGACCTGAGGTCAGGAAGTGTATGAGACCAGCCTGGCTCAACATGGTGAAACCCCCAGCACTACTAAAAATACAAAAAAATTATGCCAGACGTGTGGTGGGTGCCTGTGATCCAGCACTTCGGAAGGTTGAGGCGGGAGAATCGCTTGAACCCGGAGGCAAAGGTTGCAGTGGGGCTGAGATCGGCCCAGTTGCACTCCAGCTGGGCGACGAAGAGTGACGACTTCGTCTCAAAAAAAAAAAAGCCAGACTGCGAGACCAGACCCACAAAGATGGGAAAATGCATTGTAAAAAGTTAGCGCAGCCAGAGATTGCAGTGATGCATCTACAGAATGAAGTAAACACCAAGGGACACGCTCAGCACACCACTGGAAAGCCAGGATCACGAGGATGGCAGCGAACAAGAGACCAACCCCTCCAGCACCTTGAATTTCAGACTCTGGGGCCTCCAGGACCACAAAGAAACATACATTCCTGGCTGGGCATGGTGGCTTCACCCGCTAAGAATCACCAGCCAGCTGTTTGGGAGGGACCCGAGACACGCGAGAATCACTGAGGGTCCAGGAATTTTGGGACCGGCCCTGGCCAACCATGGTTGAAACCCTGTCTTCTATGACAAATACAGAAGCATAGGCTGGGCATCAAACGGTGGGAATCCTGTAATCGCCAGGCCCGTTACCCGGGGGAGCTTGAGGCAGGAGAATCACTTGAAGCCCAGGAGGCAGAGGTTGCAGTGAAGCGTGAGATCCGGCCACCACTGCACCCCAGTCGTGGGTGACACAGAGTGAGACTCCATCAGAAAGAAAAGCAAAAAAAACACAGAGGATGACATTCTGTTTTTTTTTTTTTTATTTTTTTTTTTTGAAGATGGAGTCTCGCTCTGTCACCATGCTGGGAGTGGCAGGGCCGGATCTCCAGCTCACCCTGCGAAGCTCCGCCTCCCGGGCTTTAACGCCATTCTCTGCCTGCACGCCTCCCCGAGTACGTGGAACTACAGGCGGCGCCACCCCCACACCCCGGCTAGTTTTTGTTTTTTTAAGTAGGAAGACGGGGTTTCACCTCGTTCGCCGGATGGTCTGCGATCTCCTGACTCCGTGATCCGCCCGTGGCTCGCCATCCCAAAGTGCTGGGATTACAGGCTTGAGCCACCGCGCCCGGCCACATTCCTGTTTTTAAGCCACTGTTTGTGGGAATTTGTTATGGTGGTCCTAGGGAACTAACACAGCAACTAATTAATATTTTTTTAAAGTTGCTGTGAACTCATGAATTTAAACAGATTTCGAGGGATTAAATCAGTTGCAATTATTTTCCTCATTGAAGCTCAAGTTGCCCCACTTTGGGCCAGCGGGAGGCTCTTCGCACTGACGTCTACGTGCTCTTGACATAACTACACTGCCTTTCCCGCTAATGGGTATCACAAAATGTTCCGGGTTACTCTTGTTCATTGCCTGCTCCAGATCTGGAATCAGCCATTTTCGAAGAAGCTCCAGTTTCTTTTTTTTTTTTTGAGATAGCTCCTCACTCTGTTGCCCAGGCTGGAATGGAGTGGCACAATCTCAGCTCACTACAACCTCTGCTTCCTGGGCCCAGGCAATCCTCCTATCTCAGCCCTCAGAGTAGCTGGGGCCACAGGCGTGTGCCATGGCACCCGGCTACTCGCGCTAATTATTTTATTTTTTGAGAGACGGCATCTGTACTATGCGCTCAGGCTGCTCAAACTCCTGGCCTCAAGCAATCCTCCCTGCCTCAGCTTTCCAACAGAGGCTGGGATTACAAGTTGTGAGCCACTGTGCCACAGCCAGCCTGTTTCTTTTACAGGGAAACAGCATTTCCAGATCACAACGTGGACACAGGGATACTCCATTGCTACTAGTTGCCCGTTTCTAGGCCTTTTGAGGTGGTCAGAGAGACCGGATCTGTAAATATATACATCACCAGTTCTGGCCGGGGTGCGGTGGCCTCACGCCTGTAATTCCCAGCACTTTGGGAGGCCAAGGCGGCAGTCAACAAGGTCAGGAGATTGAGACCATCCTGGCTAACACGGTGAAACTCTGTCTTCTACTAAAAATCCAAAATATTCGGCGTGGTGTGTGCTGGCCCTGTAGTCCCAAACTACTCAGGAGCTGATGGGCAGGAGAATGGCGAACCCAGGAGGCGAGCTTTGCAGTGAGCCGAATGTGCGCCACGCACTCCAGACCTCGGCAATACAGCAAGACTCCTCTTCAAAAAAAAAAAAAAAAAAGTCATCACGAGTTCATGAGTGAATATAACGTCAAAGATTAGAACTACAGATTTTGCTTAGTTTTGGTTTTTAAACTTTTTTTGTTTTTGAGATGGAAGCCTCGCTGCTGTCAGCCAGGCTTGGAGTGCAGTGCCATGATTTCCTGGCTCAACTGCAACCTCCACTCCCTGGGTTCCAAGCAATTCTCTGCCTCGCTCCCAAAGTGCTAGGTTTACAGGCGTGAGCCCACTGTGCCTGGCATTAAACTTTTTTTAACTAATTTATCACTTTTCTTTTTTCGAGACAGGCGTCTCACCTATGTTGCCCAGGCTGGAGTGGCAGTGGTACAATCCATGGCTCCACTGCAGCTTCGATCTCCCCTGCGCTCAGGGTGATCCTCCCCAACCTCAGCCTCCTGGGTAGGCTGGGACTGCACAAAGTGTGGTGCCTACCATCAATCCCTGGGCTAATTTTAAATTTCTTGTGTAGGGAGGGCATTTTGCCACGGTCATCCAAGGCTGGTCTTGGAGCCTCCTAGGCCTAAAAGCAAATCCACCAAAATGCTGGGATTCCCCAGGCGCTGACCCACGCGCCCCCAGCTAACGCCTAATTCTTTTCTTTCTCTTTTTATTTCTTTTTTATTTTTTTCTTTTTCTTTGAGACGCGAGTCCTCGCTGTGTGGCCCAGGCTGGAGTGCAGTGGCCGGATCTGCAGCTCACTGCAAGCTCCGCCTCCTGGGTTCAACGGCCATTCTCCTGCCTTCGCCTCCCGAGAAGCTGGACTATAGGCGCCCGTCACCCACACCCGGCTAAATTTTTTGTAATTTTTAGTAGAGACGGGGTTTCACTGTGTTACCAGGAGGTCTTCGATCTCGCTGACCTCGTGACCAACCTGCCTCGTGATCAACCTCCCCAAGGTGCTGGATTACAGCATGAGCCACGCGCCCGGGCCACATCTGTCTGTTTTTTTTTTTTTTAAAAAACCTTAATCTCTTCTGTAGGACCAACTATTATCAAAGTTTTCTTTGGCGCTGAGTTACCTGATGTCAAGGACGTGTAGGATGACAGAGTACCCCATCTTTGATCATTCACTCTCATCCCACATTATAACTCAATATCTCAGAAAAACAAGGCTAATACGTATCACCATCAATTAATGAAAGTAGGCTAAACTTTTTTGCATATTTCCCCATTCCCTCCTATTTAAAAAGTAGTTCTTACTACACATAACTGTTGAGCATTATTATTACCCTTTTTTTTTTTTTTTGAGACAGGGTCTCACTCCTGTCATCACAGCTCCACCCAGGCTAGAGTGCAGTGGCACAAATCATAGCTCACTGCAAAGCCTCCATCTACCAGGGCCTCCTAAGCGATCACTCCCCTCCTCAGACTCCCAGGTTTGTTGGAACCTATAGTCATGCACTCACTGTGCCTGGCTACATTTTTACATTTTTTTTGTAAGAAAATTCAGAGAACAATCAGGAGAATCGCTTGAACCTGGGAGGCAGAGGTCAGTTGAGCCGAGATCACCACT